GCCCTAGGCCAGGCTGGCCCTTCTCTCCCGGTTTGGGGTTTGCTCGAGGGACCAAGGTGAGAGTGGGCAGAGCCAGGAGAGGTGACCACTTCCTCCACCACCAGGGGATCAGGTGGGCCTTCCTGCCACAGGAGGGGCCCCGCCTGCTCCCAGGACAGGAGCCATTTCCTGTGCACGGCCCGGCTGACCTAGCTGGGCTCATTTTCCACGTGCTGCTATCAGCCTGGCTGAGGCTTCCCCCGTCCATTCACAGGCACTTCTCTAGCCCCTCATGGTCCTCCACCCTTCTGAGCTCCATCTCCTGGCACCCGCAGGCAGCAAGTCTCTTGTCCTGACCCAGGCTCCCCATGGCAGGAGGTATGGGAAACCCCATCGGCCTGGCCCAGGGCTGGGCCCCTGTGGGCGGCAGGGAGGCGGATGCTTGTGGAATAGAAAGCTAATTGCAGGAGAGGCAAGGTTACCTGGATGACTTTAGTGGTGGGATTCAGGGGTCTAGGGAGCGGGCGGCTTCACGCACTGGGATTTCTGCCCAGTGTCTGGTTCTGGTCGAAGCACTTGCAATTTGCAAGGAGGGGCCTCAGCAGGGTCCAGGTGTGTATCCCACCGGAGGCTGCACCTTCTAGCCCACACAGATACCCCCGAGTATGGCTGGATGGAGCTCAGATGGCGGAGGCTGTGGGACACCAGGAGACAAGCAGGGAAGACCCGGGCACTCGGCTGAGGGGTGCTGGGCCCTGGAGGAAAAGGCAGTGGTGGGAGGACCAGGCGGGGTGAAGACAGCGGAGGAGACGGTGTGAGCGGGATCTCAAACCCTTGGTAGGAAAGCCCACAGCTTCTGAGTGTGTCATCTGTTGAACACCCAGAACAAATGAAGACAGAAGGACGGGCCACTACAGGAAATCCCATTGTCTTCATGACAATCCACTCTAAGAAAGGCCAGCACGTGCCAAGCCCTGAGAGCGGCCGGCTCCTGCCTTCTCCGGTCGCAGGGATTTCCTTCCCGCTGTGTCACGGCCTCTTGCCCAACAATGGCACACAGAACAGACACTCGCGAGCACTTCTACACGAGGCACGTCGCCTCCCTCAAATCCGCTTACCACGGCCAGGTCCCCTTGTAACGGAGAGTGAGGGTGAAGCACCTCAGGGCCATGCAAGGTCCCGGCCGGCCCCGTCCCGGCACCAAGCTCTCAGCTGCTGCCTCACCGAGCACCCGGCTCGCAGGCGCCAGGGCCCACGGCACAGGGGCTGGGGCCTGCTGTTTCTGGAAGGCAGGTGATTTCGGGGCACCGTGGCTAGATATCACTGGGCCTTCTGATGGACTGGAACCCGAGTTCTTCCAGAACCTTCTTGTGGCTCCAAAGCAGCTTATCTGCAAACCAGCGCCTTCTCCCTCATCCTCTCCCTGGAGCTACCTCTGTGGGTGGCAGGCACTGACCACACCTGGCCGGCACACAGCTGGCCTGTGCCCACACTTAGCTCTGCCCTGCTGGGGTGCTGTTCTTTCGCCAAGGGGTCGGGTGGGAGGCAGAGTCTGGGAACTGCGTCCACGGCTCTGCAGCCAGAACCCAAACTCAGACCCGGGGGTTGGGAACAGGGACATCTATGGGGTGACTAGCAGCAGGTTCCCAGAAACCTCTGCCAGGAGACGCCGCTCCGAAGTTTGGGTCCTGGAGCAGGGGTAGGTGGAGGGGGGTGAATTCAGTTCTACGGCTGATGCTCTGAACCCAGGCGAGCACTGCCAGGGACACAGCATCTCTGAGCCCCGACGTCTGCTGTCCTCTATGCTGACTGTTAAAGAGAGAAGCACGAATGGAACCTTTGTCCCCTTTGAACCCTCTGTGCTCCCGCCTTCCAAGCAGGATTTGCTCCGAAGGCTGTATCGTCTCCCCACTGGTGGCCCTGCTGTGTAGAGGCTGCAAACACACAATCAACATGGCAAACTGTTTCCTGGCCCCACACCTGCCTGCCCAGCCACGCCCCTGCCCCTGCCCACCCCAGCCAGGCTTACGAGGCTCACGGAGGCCCTCAGAGGTTGTGTGCTCATGGGACTGAAGCCACGGACGGGTCCAAGGCCACACAGCAGGGTCATAGGCCCTGACTTGGTCTGTTCAAAGGAAGGGAAAAGAGATAAACTCTCAGGCCAGGCCCGTGCCTGCCCAGGACTCCTTATCGCCACTCTCACCTTATCGCCAGCAGGAGCGGGGCCTGGGTTTGTCTCCCTAGCCCTGGGGGAGGAGGCCCCAGCCTGTGGCTTATGCTGCTCCTGCTGTTCTGGCTACATTTTTGGCTTCCACAGAAGAGAATAGTCTCTGATTAGGGAGCTAGATCGTGCTTTTCTGGCCTTCACATCTCTAGTGTGGGGGTTTCATAGAACCTTGCGAACGGAGACTTTCTGTAGCTCTTTACAAGTGCCCACTTAAAGGGCACTGAGATAAACATCAGGAAACAACGGAAGAGAAACAATAATACGGCTGCTGGTAACAAAGCGAATACCAGGGTGGCCTCACTGCCGGGTCTCTGGGAAAGTGGTGGAAAGATCAGGGAGAAAGGGCTGGGAGGTGGAGGGGCCACAGCAGGAGAGGGACACAGACAGCACGGAGGGGACGCCTTCCTTCTCCCAGGCCACATGGAAGGGGTTCCTCTTATTTGTCCCCCCTCCGCCCCCTCCAGGAGGCTGGAAAAGCCCTCTCGCGATCAGTCGTTAACGGGGAATTTTTAAGATGCGTGAAATGGGCTTTCAACCGCATGTTCCTTTCCAGCCCAGGCAATCTTCACCGGATTAAATGCACGAGAATGAGGAAGGGCCCGTGGAAGGCCCTCTGGGGAAAGGGTCCAGGAGGTGTCTGAGGAGTCCCGGTCCCGTTATAGATGCGCGCCCCCCCCCCCCCCCGCGACTCCCCTCAGCAGAGCTGTGCCAGGAGAGGGGCCTGCTGGGGACCAGCCATCCTGCCTGTCCCCCAGCATCACGTGGTCACTGCCCACCCAGCAGAGACCAGGCCACCACACAGAGATGGGTGATGGATGCGGTGGCCTTGACAAGGAACGGCGACCTTGAGCCACTCTGCTTGGATCCCGAGGGAGGGGCGCTCCGTGGAAAGACGCGAGGGAGTGAAAACAAGGCCAGAACAATTCTGGGTCTAGAATCCTGGAAAACCCACAACCACAACCAAAGCCAAACGGAGTTGTATATTTATAAACGCAAAGACAAAGTTTTGGAAGGAAGGAAATACATGAAACTGAAAACAGAGGTTACTTTCTGGGAGGAAGTGGTGGCCCAGGGTCTTTTACATCTTATGCAAGATTCTCCTGCATCATTTGTTTTTTTAAAAAATCTTATATGGTTTAAGTTTTTTCAAAACAATGAATATGGTTTTTTTTTTTTTTTAAATTAGAATCCTCTAGATTGTGGGATGCTCTTGGACTCCCTCTGGAGCTCTCAGAGGCAGAGCCGGGAGCAGGGAGCAGGGCTGAGGTGGCGCCTCCCCGAGGATGGCAGCGCCTCCCTCTCCCTCTGGGGGTGGGGGCTGCTGCCGATTTGCAGATTTCACAATGGAAACTTGCATTTTACAAATGAGAGGATCAACAGCCGGGAAATTGTATTTTTAGCTACTGTGGCTCTTTGCTTCAAAGGCGTGGGTTTCTTCTGAAACCAGGCAAACCTCCTACAAAGTCTGCCGTTTGCACGGAGCGATTAGCATAGCACAAGCAGGAGGAGAGGCCTGGCTCTACTCCCTGCGCAGGGAGGCTTTCTCCAGAAGCGGGATGGAGGCGGGAGAGGAGTCTCTCAGTGAGGGCCTGGGCGCTGGGGGTGCACTGGGGCATACGGGGTGAGAGATGAGTCTACAAACCATCAAAGCCGTGCACAGCCGCCACCCTCTAAGCTGCTATTTAAGCCACTCTGCCTCCTGAACCACCTTCTCCCCACGTTCAGGACAGAGGGTCCTGGGGCTGCCCTTCTGAGGGGACGGGCAGAGCCACGGCCAGGCTGAGAGAGAGGGTGGGCTGGGGAGGCAGCGGGCAGGGACTGGCACAGCAGGACTCCGATCATGAAGTCTCAGGGAGGCAGCCTCCTCCCGGTGAGGCTGGAGCAGAGGCGGCACAACTGTGGCGAGAGGACGCTGCGGCTGGGTGCCGCCCTCCGTCCTCCCCTGCCCCTCGGGCACTCACGCTTGTCTGGGTCGATCCATCCTGCTTTCCTTTCTGGCCTCTCCTCTCAGGGCCCAGCTCCCCCACTCTCCCTGCCACTGCACTTGGCCTGTGGGCATGTATCTTTTTTTTTAAAAAATATATCTTTATTGATTTCAGAGAGGAAGGGAGAGGGAAAGAGAGATAGAAACATCAATGATGAGAGAGAATCACTGATCAGCTGCCTCCTGCACATCCCCCGCTGGGGATAAAGCCCGAAACCCAGGCATGTGCCCTTGGCTGGAATCGAACCCGGGACCCCTCAGTCTGCAGGCCGATGCTCTATCCACTGAGCCAAACCAGCTGGGGCTATATCTTTGATGCAGTCTCTTCTCTCCTAGAAACCCCTTAGCTGGCTCGGGAAGACCTAACATGTGAAAAGAAGCTTGAACTTTTCTCCAAACACCACAGAAATGAAATGAAAGCGGCAACCTTCCAAGAGCTGTAATTGCAGATACTCCTCTTGGGAGCTGGGCTGGAGACAGATCTCAGCGGGCAGCTGCTCTATCACACCAGGCCCCAGCCCCAGCCTGGGGGGAGCGTGACCTTGGGCTGCGGGGGTGGGGCTGGGAGAGAAAGTGGAGGGGTTGCTATTTCAGGCCTGGCTGGCAGGAGCAGGAGCAGGAGCAGAGGGACAGGAGGGGCGGAGAGAGAAGCAGCAGCTTCGGCTCCGGCCCCTCCCTCAGGGTACTGCAGGCAGTAGGATCACACGTCTTCCTGTGGAGGGTCAGGGGACCGGGAAATCCTCACAGATGGGGTGCACAGCTGAAGATCTGAGAAACCAATTACCCTGCTACTGGGGGGCCGGGAGACGCTGGAGGAACTGGACTGGGGGCGGCCACTCAGGCTTCAAGTGCAGGAAGGAAGTGAGGTACTCCAGGAACTGCCAACTGTCGGGCCAGGGGAGGACAGGGGTGGGGGGGGAGGGGGGTATCTCCTCCAGGAAAGCGGCTGAGGTCTGTCAGGAGGGGCTGAGCACACAGGAGGAAGGGAAGGCTGACTCCCCGGAGCAATGGACTGATACAGGGTCAGCTGAATTCAGGGTACCTGGAGTGAACTGGCTAAAGGCAGGTCCCCTAAAAAGCCAAACAAGTCAGGACGGGGATGTCTGGGGCTGGAGGAGGTTTTAAATTTAGTCCAGGTTATCTGCTCACACCGATGGTTCCAGCAGCACTGAAACTTTTGGGACGACGTAGCAGCCAGACCCCTGTCCAGCAGGCTTCCCCAGCCACTCCTTCACCAGCCTCTGGTGTTTTAGGCTAAGAGCGGGGAGGAGCGGAAGGCCGCAGCCGGCATGGCAAATGAGCGAGACCCCCACACCCCACCCTGGGCCCCCTTCCCTCCTGTCCCTAGAAGTGCCGGGAGGATGGCAGCATTGAACTCGCCCTCCCCACCTCCCCTCAGGTGAGGCCTCGCACAGACGCCCAGGTCCCTCTTGGCCGGGGAGGAGGGAGCTCAATGCCAAGGTGGCCCATGCGAGCAGTTCCTCCCGACTGCGCGGCCGCAGCAGGTGGAGTTGGTTTTTGAACCTGTTCAGGCGCGTTAGTGGGTCACTGGGCTCCTCAGGGCTGCTTGCGAGGCGGCCAGGGACCTGGCCCCAGTGCCCTGGGTGCTGGCCTGGCCTATGGGCTTCTGAGCAGACTGCGCAGGAGTCAGAACACCTGTTCTCCCCTCCCCACCCCACCCCTCCCCACCCCACCCCACCCCACCCCAGCTAGTTCCTACTCATCTTTCATGGCTCGGCTTGAACAGCCTCTTCCCAGAGCTTTCCTGGGCCTCTGCACCGGGGCTGGGCCCTCCCCCATCCCATCTGCTCCCCAGAGCAGCATCACGCTTCCATGGCCCTGCCTTGTGACTCTCCCCGGGAGGCAGGGACTAGCTCTGCCCACTGCGTGTCCCTGCCGGTGGGCACAGGGCAGGTCTGCTCAATGACAAATGGCACTTCCTGGCCCTCCCCAGGCCAGCACAGCAGCCGCCCCTTCCCTCTAAGCCACCTCACAGGGTGGGGGGCCGAAGCCCCTTGCTCCCCGGCCCGTCCCCTTCTTGGGAGACACGGACTCTCTGGCCCCGGACAGCCGGTGGCCTCATTTCCAGGGGCAATAGCCAGGCCTCCTTATTTTTACCCC